ATTACTCATCAGTACTGACAAATCAAAGTTGTTTTTTTAATCTCTTACCAGTTTTGTTTAACACAAATCAAATGGTAAAGAGCAGGGAAAAGCAAATCTCTTTACAATCTTTAAATATTCCAAACAAGAAGAGTTAATAGATGTGTTAAAAAAATAAATAATTATAAACTGAGCAACTGGAGCAAAAGCAGTTTGAACCAACCTTTTTTAATAAAGATATTGCATCTTTTACTAGCAGTTTGGAGGAGCAGCATGGTGCTTAGGAAATATGAGGTTTAAGCCATGACTATGGGGTAATATTGAGGATAATAAATCAAACTATTGATAACAATGGATATTTTTCATAATCTATTTAACTTAAATTTTGCTCAAAATTCTAAAAACAAATGTAAAAAAAAATCTGTGTATCATTTTTTTTATTATAAAGCTATGGTTAGATTAAATATCAATCAAACCTGGAAATCATGCTGGATTAATCTGTATCCATTTCTTCTCAACCTTAACTTGAAACCAAATACCTCAAAGCAAGGTAAGCCCATAATAATCCAATACAAAAGGGAAATTGAGAAAGGAAAAAAATATTACCTTCTTAAGAAGTTAGAGATTTGCATTTTCAGGTGCGAAGGTTCACATGTTTTATACATGCAAACCTTTTGAAGTTTCCTAACTTACATATGATAACATCGATGCTCACAGTAGGTCATTTATACGCATGCTCCATCAATCAATCAGCAAACTCCACACTGCAGAGTAAGTAAAGCTTTGCTTCAAATTAGGATTTAAACATCACCTCCCAGGAAGTCCAGGAAGGATTAAAGATATTCTCGATGTCTGGGAATGATTTGTGTCTTAAAATGAAAGGGGAAAGTCTTGGTTCCAAAACTCAGAGAACTCAACTATTATTCTATGGATGCTGAGATAACCAGGAGTGGAATTATAAACTGCACACAAGCAGGACTAATGAAGAGTTACTGCAAAGTAAACACAGGAATTGCACGGTGATTAACGGATGAAACCGAATCAGCTTGGCTCAAAAGGACAGCTTAGGACATGCGATACACATGTTGGAATTTCTATACATGTAGATAGTATAAACAGCCCCTGATTAAATATTTAGAGTTAGTTAAGAGAATATTAAGTTAGTCTGGAGCTATAGAACAACAAAGCTCCAAAAGAGCTCAGTTCAGTCCATGCTGGAGAAGTCACAGAAATCAGGTGGAAGAATCTGTTAAAAAGAGCAGAGCTATATACTCCAATAAAATCTGGCCTTTACTGAACAGTAACATAAAGAAAAAAGCACTGCTGAAAGAAAGTTGTAAGAAATCCAATAAAAAAAGATCTGCAATGAGTCAAATTAGGGAACATCTTAAATGTGGAAGAAGATTCTGTAATTAAAGGTTAATAAAACTCAAGATGTTGCCCTTCATCCTAATAAATCCAGGAAAACCTTGGAAGGAAAAATGCTAGATTTTTCCAAGGACAGGAAACTGAGTCAGATGTTTATCTTTTGGAAAGGCGATGGCTTATATCAGAACAAATTAATGGATGCTTCATTTAAAGCCCAGACCTACAATCATGGAAAAAAAAACACATCAGGCCATATGTGTTACCTTCCATTCCATGCTCTAAATGTATATTACAAGAAGAACATAATGAAGAATTAGAGAAAACAATAGTGGCTAAAAAAATCTTCCTAATTTCTGTCAATACGCTGCAGAACTTGTAGCGTCATGTTCCCCGATGCTCCTCTACAGCTTGAGCTTTTCACAAAGGAAAATTTGCAAAAAATGTAATTTTCATAAGCCCTGATCTTCCGAGATTCCACATAATAAGCAATTAATAAATAGCTTGTGCAAAAAAAAAAAAAAATGTGAGTGCAATTTTAAGTTGGCATGTTGAGGGGTGATCTAGAAAGATTGTTTAACAAAATGTTAAGACATAAAAACTGGTTTGGGTTTATTAAAATGGACAGAGTGGGTCTACAATTGGCATTTTTGAAAGATCTAAGCCTTGGAGATGATAAGGATATAGAAAATATTTTTTAAAAATCACATAAATGATACTACCTAATGTTAAGTGAAGTAAAACAATAAAAAAATGACATCAGTTAAAGTTTAATATAAAAAGTTAAATTGGTTATTAGACTATTATATACCTATTTATGAAGATACACATGCAGTAAATAAGTTTGCATGCGCTGCCTGATGAACTGCATGCAAACAGCGATGCACCTTCTTTAAAGGTCTGCTCTGCATGTGCTAACATATATGCATGCATTCTAATGCAAGCAAGCATTTTGAAGATTAATGTACAAAGCTGGTAAAGACCTTTCCCAAAAGGTTTGCTGTTTTAATTGGAGCAGAAAATGTAGACTCACTTTATTATTGACCAATGGACAGTAAATATTTACAAGTTATATTTATATGTATATTTAATACCAATCCTCTCTCTCCTGCTCATATCACAGTTATACATTTTCCTAGTGTATCACCAAAAAATCCAAAAGCCAAAATGTTAAAGTCAAGCTACTTTTTTTTGCACTGTTTAATCCCTGAGGAACTCAAACGGTGTATTGCTCTTTTTATAGACAGTAGCTTTTTTTTCCAGCGGTTGTCAATAATTTCCCGTCAAGGACAGAATGCAACTGCCTGCTCTAGTCAGGCTAATAAAATCAAATCTCTGTACTCTGATTTTTACATCCAACATGTTAGCATAGCCAGTAAAAAAGGGTGAGATGTTAACTTTAAAATCTAATATAATTGGGACTTTCCCAGCTCATGTTTTTCAAACTTAATATTTCATTATAGAAATAAATCACCCCTGAATACTTTTTAAGTTTCAGTCTAAAGCTTTTACGTTTTGTAGTTTTGACTGACACATTTACATAAAATTTAGAAATAAGACAAACATAACTGGGACATTTTCTAAATTCCAAGTTATGCAAAGCAATGAACGACACGACTGCAGAAAAGAAACAAACTTGATGACCTGCTTACCGGCACAGACAAATAAAACTGTTTTAATAGAGAAAAGACAAAGATTTCATTGATTTGAGATATTCCTAGGAGAATAAGGAAACACCTCAATACAGATGTTTAGCTCAATTTAGACTTTATAGTGTGCAATGTGGAGCAGGGGTGTGGTGAGATTCCAGCCTTGGAGTGTTATGGTGAGACTCCGGCATGGAACAGGTAATGTCTACAAACAAGACTTCGGTTCAAAGAAGGCTCTTTGCTGCGATACCCGACTCCAGATTAAACCCACAGTTATCTCTAAAATAAAAACTGGTGTGTCGGCTCTAAGTTTGTGTGTTTCCATGGTAACGGCTGCTTAATGTAACAGTCATCAAGGCTCATTGTGTTTGCTCTGAAGCAAACTTCATCCCTGCCAACCTCTGAGTGTTATTTTTAAAAACAAAATCTGATTCCAGAGTTTTTTCCCCTTGAGTCAGAAAGGATCGGGTTTCTGCAGGTTAAACACGTCTAAAATTATCTGTTAGAGCTGTTAGGATTTTTCTTTATATTTGGAAATTACAAATCAGATTACTGAGCTGCAGGAACCAGACGCACAAAACAATTGAGTAAAAACGAGCCAATTTCTGACACCTCGTCAGTTATACCTGACTGATTATCAGCTGATCAAACAAAATTTTATTATGAGAGGAATGCAGCTAGTTTGAAGGAAACAGAGCATGGGGGGTTCCAGACAGGGGCAAACGGGGGTCAGTGCCCGTGTAGCTCATGTCCTGACCCTTGTACTGAAGACATAATACTCAAAGAAATTATAATTAAGATATGCACTGAAACAGACATGTTTACTGATTGGTCCTTTGGATCCATTGCATTTTTTCTTTGCAAATTCTGTTTTATTAAATATTAAAAAATAATAGGATGATAGATTCAGTGGTATTGAGATAGGATCCCAGCTTTCAGCTGCTAAATGTTTTTTAAAACAAATAAAAAAAATTCTCTAATTTTTACAGCTGAATTCATCCGTTTTTCTTGAGTTCTAATTTAGATTTTATAGAAAATGGTTATTTTACATTAAAATAAGTACAAAATATGTAAAATTAATAATTTCTTAATCTATTTTCACCAAATAAGACATATAATTTTAATTAAACCTACTTGAATAGAAATTTCACTTCATGCAGCTATCTTAATATATTTGAATCCTTGCCCTGTTTTTTTTTTTTATTTCATGCTTTTCTGTTCTCCCATGAAAACACACTGGCCCCCTCCCGGGCCCCTCCTGGCCCCCTGGTACATTTGGTAGAACCGCCACTGAAACAGAGATTGTGTATGTTTATTAAATAATGAGACTTTTTTTTTATATATAAAATATGTTATCCAATCATTATGCTACATAAATTCACTAACAAAGTTAACAATAAAACATAATTTCACGGTGGTATCAATAAGATTAGAACAAAAGTCCAACAAAAATGTTAATTAAAATTTAAAAAGTATTACAATTAAAATTGAGCATTTGTAGCTTGTTTTATTTTTAAAGTGAAGGTTGCTTTTTTTATGTTTATTATAATATATTTTCTGTATGTGTTTGTTAGTTTCCTGAAGTTTTATTGTTATTTGTAAAACTAAACCTGCTGTAAATAGTCCCTCCGCCCAAGCGCTGCGGAGGGATATCTTCGGTCCACGCTGGTGGTCGCATATCGATCTCTATCTTATAAATTAGTAAACAGGTCACGTGCGGTGGATTGTCGTTTTGGGAGCCTGTCTGTTTGTTTTGGTTCTGGTTCCGGACTCTTTTTCTGACCTGGAGCCTCAATAAGAACCAAATCTAATAGAATCAGCAGAACTCCTCCATCAATGAGCCGAAACTTTAAACTTTGTCACACCGTGGACTGTCTGCACTCCCTAGGAGGAGCAGGAGGAGGAGGAGGAGGAGGCTTCCTCTGTTTGGTACCCTGCTCCATCCTGACTGAAACTTCCCATGCATGCTCCTGAGCGCCATCCCGGTGCAGACCCAGCTGCTCTTACCTTGCAGGTTCTGCACTCGGATGTCGCTGATCTGTCCGATGAACTCCTCCCGCTCGAACCAGTCATCCCAGTGGTGTCCAGCCATCCGGACAGCGCTACGGGAGTCCGGGAGGGACACGGGGCTCCGCTGTTGTCTGTTATCACACAGCGGACTGCTCTATCAGTGCACCAACATCTCTGCTCCACACTGCGGCTTCTTCCGTCTCTGCTCCGCGCTCAGAGCCACAGAGCTCCGGGAGGAGGAGGAGGAAGGAGCCGCTGCACCTGGTTGGTGTTCCCGAGGTGGGATGGAGCTGGTCCAGGGACCGCCCCCTAGTCCACCTCCGCCTTCCCTCACCCCCTCAAACACACACATCAACACACACGCAGCATGATCCACACGTACACATGCAATGAAGCATAAAATGCTCACACTGCTGCAGGAGTCTAAGTTATGGTTGAGATATTCACTGTAGCCACTGATGCATTTTTATCAATATAAAAGCCAAATATACCAGTGAAATATGGAATTGGCATTTAGAATAAACAATAGATTCATCAAGAATCTTTTTTAGCTACTCACAATAAAACATTAACTGGTTGATCAGTTAATAACCAGCCTAATTATGCTGTGCAGCAGGGGTGGAGCTAGATGGGGGGCCAGGAGTGGCCATGGCCACCCTTATGCTACGTTCACACCAAAAGCAGCAGAGGCAGCAGGAGCAGCTAGTTTACATGCAAAGACAATGGTTGATACACGTCAAGAGGCAGCAAAATGTCACGCAGCGCATTTTAAGCAGCAGCCGTGGCGCGTCGTGACCTGAGCATCTGACGCACGGGACGCTACGCAAACATAGCTGCTGTTCGAGTTGGAGAAACTGAACTGTTGCTGCTCGACATGCCACATCAAACAATCAGAGAAGCTGATCTGGGAGCTGGCAGAGAGACAGACATATCACTGATGATACAGATCACTATGATCACTCCTCTGAAACAGTTGATTAATGCCTAAATTAACTTAAATGCCGAAATCTGCAAACATGTTCACTTTTATTATCCTGGTACCTGTAGTTTGGATTACAGGAAAACTGCCTTCCAGCCGCCGAGGCGAACCGCAAAGAGGTGACCTAGCCAGAGCCTGCTGTTGAGTGGGATTCCTACTGACAGCACACCGTCGGTATGTCGGGGTCTAAACGGCTCCGACAGCGAAATAATATTTGAAGGCAGGATGGTAATCTGGATGAACTGACTGCACTGATGAAGTTTTCAGGTGGACTTTCTCACTGAAAAACATATTAAAACTACTTTATTACCACTGATCACAGCATATATAGCTGCCATTGTTACAGACAAAGAAAGGATAGGGTAGCTCCGCCCAACGCCATCCGGATTGTACATATGACACCTCAAACCTCTGTGCTACTCCCTTTTATTTTTTATTTTTTTATTTCTTATTTTTATTTTGTTTTTCATTGTGTGTGATACATATACACTTGCACCTTAATCTTTATTTATCTTGATATGCTGTATATACCTGGATATACTGTATATATATTAATGCACCCTTTTCCTCCTTGTTTGCACCTTCTTTAATTACTATGCCA